CATTAAGACCACCAACAAAACTGAAACAAGGTGGTTTAAATTATTGGTGGGTCTCAATAGTATAGCGGTTATTATTAGCAAGGCATAAATATTTTATGACTAAAAGTCTATTTTGGCTTCATAATTAATGATGTACATAATATAATTGAATTAACATTTAATTCTTCTCTAAAAACTCGTACTTAATCTTAGGGTGGTCTAAAGTATGGTTTCTTCTGTGTTGCACTTAACAGGATTTTAACTGACATATAAGAGATTAGACAAAATACACGCCTTGCTAATGAATTTCTGAGAATAGTGCCTGTAAAGATCTATTTTATTACCTGCATGATTTACCATTTTCACATTTATTTGTTATTTGCACTAACGCTTACCTTGGTGGTCGGTAAGTCGGTGTTAGAGAAAGCAAAGCCAATTCTGTCACATTTAAATTTCCATATATGGCTCTTTCTTCGTTCATATCTTTTCAAATCATGTGAAGTTTTGAACGATTTTCCTCAGTGACATTCATACTTGCGTTCAGTGCCTTTGTGTGTGCTAAGTAATGATACCAGAGAGTAAAAAAGCCACATGCCAACAAAGGTTAAATTTGTAAGGGCCATCTTGCCGATGTCGTACTTCATATTGTCTGAGAGAGGTTTCACTGGAGAAGAATTCACCACAAAATCGGCATAAATGTACATTTATTTTATTTCTGGATTGTTAGCTGAATAGTACTTATTATTTCTTAACAATATTTAATGGGAAAACATTTTGATGATATTATAGATCACTTAAAGGTTATCATTTCTCAAAAAGAGCCCTAACTAACATTTAAGCTTAAACATAACTTGTTCAACGTACGGTAAGGTTTGTGCATGTTTTCTTTAAGGCATATATTTGACCTTTGTAATCAATTTTATCAAGTCCTTATAGTGCCCTTAGGGTAATTATACCTTAATAAGATATCAATTTGACGATTAAAAGTAAGCCATTTTAAAATGCAGAGTTACATTTTTTATCTGGATAGAGTGTTACATAAATGAAAAATGAAATAATATTGAACTCGAACCTTAATTAAATGTACAATTTAAAACATTTAAAGGGAGCAAACATTATCAGAGGATTTGAATCTTATTTATTGTTTTGTTTTTCTTTCATATTTCCCTTCTTTTTTTTTCTTTTTTCTTTTTTTTTTGTTCACCATTGTTACCCTTTTTGATCTGATCAAGGACTATACGCCGCTTCGAAGAAAGTATACGCAATATCAATAACACAATAGGCAGTATCTTCATTTTTTACGCAAAATATCATAATGTCTTTTTTCTGCAAAAAGTGCGACATACATAAATAGTAGAAAACATTTTTCGTTCAAAAGAAAAAACAAGGTTGAAAATATGTTTTTGAAATACATTCTACAACCAATAAACTTACAGTCATCTGAAACTTTCAGTTTAACCTTTTCCCTCATAAAGAAGTGTTTTGCCGGATTTTTGCCCTCTCCTTTTGAGGCCTCAAATAGTGACAAAATGCCCTATTTAGGCCCCAAACACTGTTTTGCGTTTAAGAAATGTTGTTAAAAAAATGACCACTTTTTCGGCACTGCCCCCATCAAAATGGTACATCAGGGGGTTGCCAGAAGGGGATGTGTCCCCTTCTAAACTGCCCGCTTCTGTTTAGAAGGGGGATGTTGCCTCTTCTGATTTGGGGGTTTGAAGTGGGCGGTTCCTCCTCAAAAAAATCTTGGACATGTGACAGGCTAAAATGACATCAGGTCGATTTTAGGGTAACTAGTAATCGACGCTGAAAAGCCTTTTACTCTATCTCAATTCGTTGAGAAGTTGCAGCACTTTGAAATCAGATTTGATGAAAAAAAAAACAATGCAAAAGAGTGATTTTTTTAGACGTCCCCCGTTGCCATGATAACATAAAATTTACGATTGAGCATGCTGTTACAGAGGCTATGGTCTAGTCAACATTTGTGCCAAGTTTCATCAGTATTGAAACATTTTTCATAGTTTCATAGCAGTTTGAACTTGTAACAGGAGGCTTTTCAATGAAACCGACCATTTTTCACAATATGCTCATTCTCATTTTATGTAACATTTCGACGCCGGCTATACGCAGTATCCAGAATTAAAATCGCATTTAACACCAAATACTGACGTATAAGGGAAGAGTTGTGTCAAGTCATTTTGGAATATTAAAACTAAAAGTAATGACATCTTCTTGCAAAAGAAATTAAATTTAAATCTATTCAATTTTTTCACATGGCTCGTTTTTGTTCAGAATTCCGGTTGATAAGTGTTTGCGGTATCAGAATTTTGAGGATGCGCGCACATCATATGCTCCCTTGGTTTTGAAACTTGCTAAAGAAGAGAAAAAAAATTCAAAGGGATGTGGTGATTATGCCTTTAAATTGAGACGCTCGTGTTATGATTTTACTTCATATATGTCGTCCTGGTGCTAGAGATCCAGAGTAATAATTAGCTAAAGGGGATTGTACTATGAACATTGCTCTATGATTTAATATACTTGTGGAAAGGTAAATTAGTTTTGGGAATATTTTACCTGAATGGTAATCATGATATATTAATGTAAGAGCACTATCCGGTTATAGTTCGATACTCGTTAGGATGCAGGTATGGATGTTGTTGATGGGTCTAAGCTACATGCATATCTCTGTAATACATTGAAGATAATAAATTGTTCGAGAACAAAATATTGTTTTTGGTACATAAATGTTCATACTAAACTTCATATAAAACTCAACCAATATCTTTTAAAGAAAAAAACTAATAATTCATATTTGATAAAGGCAATCAGGTATACTAGTAATAATGGGCGTTCGTAGCCAAGTGGTTAAGGTCTTTGACCTAAAACCACTTGTACCTCGCTGCTGTACTGTGAGGAAGATATCCAACTAGCTTATCGAGCGACTGTGGTCATACTCAGGTGCCGTGCGCGTTCGTGCCTGAAATAATACATGGGTGATGAACCTGGGGTCTTCTCCCACCAGAAAAGCTGGAACGTCGCCATCGGAAGAGCTAGACTGTGCAACCAAATCTAACAAACAATCATACATAGTCAAAAACTAAATCTAGAAGTACAATATTAAATTACGTTGATAATACTGTTCAGTTCTGAATCGCCTCTTTTGATATTTCAGTCTTACATAATAGAATTCCTATATTCGTCTTCTTACTTATTTTCTCTATACAGCGCTAGTTGGGAGAAGGGTTACTAGAATCTGGGTGGTTATTCATATGTATGCCTCTTGTTTAGATAGGAACACATTTTGTTGTGTAACAATTCAGTTCACTTACAAAGTGAAAGTGGTAATGAATTAGTGACACTTATTATTTAATATAGAGATTTGCACGTGACAGTACAACGAATAATTATACAGACAACTTTTATTTTATACATGGGTACGATCTTGTGTATCCCCAATTCCTGCTTAGAAAACTTCCGGATTACTTCGCCAAAAATACATTTCGTTCCTAGGTATGACAGAAACCACCGAATAAACTCCTACGTAGGAGTTAGAAACTCCTAATTAGGCTTTCTTATATCCTATGTAGGAGTTTTCATTTTTATAGAACATGTTTACTTGGAACCAGGACACTTCCGTAACTAAGTAACTAATTTAACATGTTTTATAGAAAAAATGATAACTCCTACGTAGGAGATGAAAAAACCTAATTAGGAGTTAATAACCCCTATGTAGGACTTTGTAACTCCTACGTAGGACTTTGTAACTCCTACGTAGGACTTTTAAACTCCTACGTAAGACTTTGTAACTCCTACGTAGGAGATAAAAAAAGCCTAATTAGGAGTTTGCATTTCCTACGTAGGACTTTATAAAAGTCCTACGTAGGACTTTATAAAAGTCCTAACGTAGGAATTTGTAAGTCCTACGTAAAACTTAATAACTCCTAATTAGCCTAATTAGGAGTTAATAACTCCTGCGTAGGACTTTATAACTCATAAGTAGGAGATAAAAAGCCTAGTGAGGAGTTTGAATCTCCTACATAGGACTTCATAAGAAATGCATATAGAATGCTTTGCAAATCTCAACATTCCGGACCGGTATATCGGCAATGGAACGAGGCACTTAACTCCCCCCCCCCCTCCTTAATTTCAAATCTTAAATATTGAGGACACTTCACCTTTCAATACAGTGTCTCAGGTTTCTTGAGTGAGGAGTGTCTTAAGTGGGGTGTCTGTAAGCATTGGCGATGTCTCTTCGAAAAACTTACAACAACAAGCATTTAAGTGTTTAAAATATGAATATATCAATATATTAAAAGGCTTTACAGATGACATTTTCTGTACAAACTAGCTGAACAAAGAGAGCAATTTATCCATATTTGGCCGTTTCGAATGATTTATTCCTTATAGGGGATGAGGGAATGAAGTGTCTTGTTTCAGTTCCGGAAAGTTACGATTTGCGAAGCATTATGCATGCATAAGTTTAAAAATGAATTATATCCTTCTTTGAACAAGATTTAAGCCATACATTTTTGTATAATCAATATAACTAAACGTGCATATCAATATAGAATCATCGTTTAATATATGTAGAGAATTACATCTTTAGTAAGTTCAATTTTCAAAACTAGTTGTATTGCTCAAAATAATTCAATTTATCAAGTTTTGTTTATTTCGCTCAAAATCATCTCTATCTACAGAATAAGGGTATTACAAGCGGCTTCCCACAATTACAATTTGACACATGTAATTTATTTTCCTACATAATATGCTATCCTAAGTTATTCTCTAGGATATATGTCCGTCGCACAGTGTGCTTTCAGCATTTTGACATGTATCCTACGTAAGAGGTTTAAAGTCCTAATTAGGCTTTTTAGTTGGGACGTAGTCCCAACTAGTGCACTTACAGACCCGAAATTTCCAACCATACAGGGTAACGCCCACTGCTGTGACGTTTCATCACCACTCTAAATGCTATATTGTATTCTAACATATCAAATTAAGCTGAATTCATAGTGATCACCCGACCATGACCGACGCATAACCGCCGCGAGTGAAAAATAGTGCTCTGAATTTCTGAAAACTTCGATTTATTGCTAACAGAAGTGGAGACAAGAAATTTATTTTTTGAAAATAATGTGCAATTGAGCTTGAATTACGGTATTAGAAACGTAGCGGATATAATTTGAAAGGTCACATAATTCTATGAATGGGATAGTAAATTAATTGGGTCATAGTGCTTGACGGCTTGCAATATTTAACTTACTCATCCGCCTTATCATCACATTTTTTTGTATTATATTCCAGAATTTTTGAAAAAGACATTATTTATCGGATAAATTGTGTAGTTTATAATTGCAAAGTGGATATTGAAATAGAATTAGCCAGAGATGTAGATAATATATTCGTCTCTGAATTAGCCGATAATTAGGTTAAATGAATCCGACAACTTCCGGTATATTTTTCGACCTACTTCACGAGCATAATTATCAGCCTGTTAAGCTCATAAGGTATGTTATAAAGCAAAATATGTTATGAATTTGATGACTAATAATATTATGTTTATTTATTGATGCCAATTTGTTTCCGAGGACTAAAACTTTCGTAAATAATTTCGAAGTAATTTGGAGATCTCGAGTCTTTCGTACCCAAGACATTTCGATCATACTTAGACTGCAAAACCGACAGATTTTACAAACTGATATTACACAGATGTCTGCCTTTACAGGAAAACCGGCATATACGCCTACAATTTTTTGGTCTTGTTACGGCCGTTACGTCTCTACCAAATGGGGCACATTCTTGAATATTTCAGAATAAATTTATTTTGACCTTTATAAATTATTATATATCCTCGATTGATGTATATTCGCGGTATTAGGCACATTTGTGAGAAATAATGTGGAAAAAAGATATATAATAAATTATACACATAATGTTTGCTTACAATTGGCCTTTTTCAATTTCAAGTCAGTTCAAGTTTCACCAACTTACACTCGTATTTGTCAGTGGTGACTTTAAATAATAAGCGTCTGTCATGACCGCCGCCATATTGGAACTGTATGTTAATTCGCGGACGACTACAAATACGTCATTGTAGGTCAAATCAGTGCACATGACAAAAATCCCAGTCACTTTAAACTGAGAAAATATCAATATTTCAGAACAATGTTGATTTTTTATATCTATTTCTTATTTGCAGTTTTATTTTGTAAACATGTAAGAAGTAGTAAAAAAACAAAAACAGCCGATAAATTCGATTTTCACCTCCCCTATGACCCTCATTTCCGGCAAAAGATTTAAGTAGGTCAAGTGCTTGCACATTGTAATCTAAACATGTGATTACATCTTAAAGTTTGATGATGACATAAAAGTTATTCTGTCAATTATATTTTGGTCAAATAGGCTTAAAGTTAGACCTAATTAATTTTTAAATGAAGGAAATGACACTTTTTGCGTTAGCTGATATGGGTATCCAAAATCGGTCAGTAAATATATTCATAGCCTCGGTTTGGGAAAAAAAGCATGGCCGACTGACCTTCACATCTTGAAGAAATTTCCGGAACTGGGAATTGTTTGACAAACTTTTCTAAGTAAATAAAAATGGATTACTTATAAGGTAGATATTTGGGCATAAGTAAAATCATGTTTTTTTATACTTATTAGAAAATAAACAATAAACTGCCCATTTTTGTGTGATTTGTGATGATTTGATACACGAAACATATGTAGACACATTTTGCGAGAAATATTACGTCATTGTCGGGCAGGTGCGACGAGATTTTACGAGATTATCCAAGTGTAAACAAAACCCGCGAATTTATATACACCGCGATTTTACATACATCGACGATATATCTATTTAAAGTCTAGCCATTTCATGTTGGGTTAGTTCTGGCTTCCATAACTTTATATGTCGCTTTTATTTTGACGTTGCGACAGGTCAAGCAGAACTATAAAACCTGTTCGCTGAAGTATCTTTAGCTAATGTTGGGTAATCTTTTTACAATTTGAATAATTATTCTGGAAAAACGAAGTGCGCAAATGATCTAAAGGTTTGTACAAAGATTAGTGTTCTAAACATTCATCAAATGGTACATTTATCTGGAAAAAATATTTCAGTCCCATCATAACAAAATACCTCAATGCCATGGAACCCCTTTAAATTGAATTACACTTTTTTTAAATGTATGGGTAAATTCCATTTTCAGTGGTTGAAATTTTTCCTCTTTTCTGATTAATCAAGCTATAGTTTCCCATTTATAAAGCCACAGGTTGTTTTGAAAGTTGAAAAAAAAAAATCACTGCCACCTTGATAATTGTTAACCTGAAAAATCTTCAGGCACTTAAAGGGATTTGAACCCCAGACCTCTTGATTACAAGGCAGACACACAACCATGTCGCGAAAATGTCAACACAACAGCAAGACTGTTGGAAATGATCTATACCTGTTCTCAATACATGGTTGAAGTAATTTATCAGTGTAAATTAGACATTTTATATGATTTAACAATTTTTGACACTACTGATATTCACATTTTTTTCACAAATCTACATGTAAAAAATAGATATCATAATAAAATGATAGAACATTTTCTATTTTAGTGGTAATACTGTGGAGTAATATGAAGAAATATTATTAATATTCTATTATCATAATTTTTTCAAATTTTAATTATGTCATTACATGCTGTACACAATCATAATTATAGTGTAAACATATATATACATTGTATAGACACATATATACATTGTATATACCAGAGACGTTAAAATACATAAAATGTATTTATATGTCTCTGTATATACACACACTAAGAGAGTAGTATTGGATGATTTTGAAAATGAAATCTCTAAATTGATATTTTCAGGGAAATAAAAGATTATTTACTTTAATATTCACTTGGAAAGGCTGGTACATGTAGCTAGAAAAAAGTACAGTATAAGATTAAAGAAAGACTAGAAGATTATTACAAACAACAGGTACTTATATAATATTTAATGTATATTTCACAAACCAAACTGTTTTCCAAAAAAAATTAATGAAACATGCATTTTTACCAGTGTCACCACGGGTCAGATTAACAGACCCATTCCCAGTGGCAAATAATGCCAAATATGCTTTTTTTCTTTTCCAAGTTTAGAAAAAAATCATAAGTCAAAATTCCGTTATCAAAGCTGACAATTTTTCTTCACTCCATTTCAATCCAATATGGTACCAGACAGATGATGTTCACAGAGCTACAGATAAGCAGGGTATCTGGGTATTTACCCAATAATTTTGACCAATTTACCCAATTAAAATAAAAGTAATACAAAAGCAAATCAAAGGCTCAGTACCCATTTTGTTTTGATTCTGTAGGGTATGTCCAATATCTCGGAACCAAATTCACCTGGCAAAAACAGCCAAACAAATCTAAAATAGCCTGTTTCCCTTTCTGTACTTTCATTTTCCATTTGTTTACTGGGAGCTGCTGAGTAAACTATTTTTTTTACGGAAAAGCTTATATTTTGAAGAGATAATTACAGTGTGGCCCAGACTAAGGTCAATTTTCTTTCTGCACTTTTTCTTTCTGTGAGAAATTTTTTCAGCTAAAACAAGCATACATCATTATCTGGTTATGGTTAATCTACACAATTAAATAAATTTTTCAATGATACCCAATTTGTTTCTGTGTTACCCAATTGTATGCCAAGTCCAGGGGTAAATACCCAATTACTTCAAAAGCTTATCTGTAGCTCTGGTTCAAAAACACATTCCATTGTCAATTTTTTATGTATTTTTTATGCTTTGAATGATATACAATGTGTTGGATTAACAACTTTGTACATGGTACTAAATATTTTTCCCAATCAAGATGCAAAATTTCTTAACCCATTACTTCATGAGCATTTTGTGAAAAATGGCTGTTTCCATTGAAAAGTCTCCCGTTACAAGTTCAAATTGCTATAATACTATAAAAACTGCTTCAACACTAATCAAACTTGGCACAAATGTTGACTGGACCATTGCCCTATCAACAACATGCTCAGGCTTAAATTTTCTGTTACCCATGGCAACGAGGGGACATCTCAAAATTGCCCAAAATCACTATTTTGCCTCGATTTTTTTCAATCAAAATTGATTTCAAAGTGATGCCACTTCTCAATGGATTGAGATATAGTCAAATGCTTTTCAGCGTTGGTTACACGTTACCTTATGATCAATCTGGGGTCATTTACAGCCTCTCACAAGTCCAAAATTTTCTTGGCATCATGCTTAGAATGGTTTCACACGGGTCAGTAAGACCGATGTACACAATGTACTGTCTGCACATATGTGTCAGAAAAAAAATATCACAAAAAGGAATTTAGTATTACTATGAGTATTTATTAAAGAAATTGTATTTTTAAATATTTTTAAATAGTATTATTGAAAGTCATTTTTGTATGACAGACACACAAAATCTAGTGCTCTGCATTATAAATGTAAGAAGAGACAAATAAAGATAAGCATTTTTTTGCAAATTATTGCACTTCATATAATTTTTATTGCTTTTTTTTTAAGGTGGACATGTGTCACTGTCAAGCTAATGAAGATAAGCATCACACTCGGTGGGAATCTCCAGTTTCCAGATGTAGTGATCATAACTGTATAGGCCACCATTAACACTTTGGACTAGTTGGAGTATTTTAGAGAGCTAGTCTGAATTGAATCCCCTGTCAATAGTAAAGGCCAGTCATGATCATTGTGTTGAAGGAAAATGTTAAAACTCGGATTTTCCGCTTAACCAATCATTACTTTACCTTATATTCAGTGCGGTAATGTAGGAAATGGTTACTTTCTGGAACGGAGCTGTCAATTATTTTTAATTTTTTAGCTTGTTAGTGTTATCGTCGGACAGTTGTGAAGTAAAGACATCGCAGTTTGACTGTATACAAGTTGCCTTAAAGAAAGTATGTCGAAATCTTAACAGTTATTCGTTGATTTTGTAGAAATTGACCAGAATTCACCTTTGTTTACATGCATCGCTTGGATGTCGAAAACGACATGCAATGACATTTCAGTGAAATTTGGAAACTTGCTCGTATTTTGGAGCATTTTGTAGGATTTCGATGAAGTAAAAAGTGTTTATGATAGGATACATTATTCCTAGAGACAACCACAAAGATAAAATAGTGATCTGGTGTATTTTTACCGAACAGTTCTTGTTTGTTTTGCATGATATTTTTCTCTCGTTAGGGACCTTTATTCTTTATATATAGTATTATGAGCGTATATATGGGTAAATGTGGTATATAGTGCCTGTGGTTTTATCATGTATCTTAGCTTGCCTGGGGTTAGTATCTCGAAGCTATCGTTAGCATAACGACTATCGTATACCACTCGTTAAGGTTTTCACCGCTATCTCGACTCTCTCGTTATTAACGAATAATCGTTAACATCCCCAATTATTAACGAATACCTTGAGGGTGTCGTAAGGCTCTCGTTACTATCATTTTGACACAAAAGCAAGAAAGGTGCGATTTTAAAGTACATAAAAATGAGAATTATATCATTTTATTGATAAAAAATGATGAACCGACATAAATATAGTAGATCTATTGTATTTCTTTTTCTCAGGAATTTTCACAGGCCCGTAATAGATTTTATTGTGTAAATTCACTCAAAGAACTCTTTAATACAATTCCATAAAAAATATCATTGATTATTTGAAAGAGATAAACTTGTATTCTTGGATCTAATTAATTGGCTCATTTTTATTGTCATTTACAAAGTTTTACATAACATTTTAAGCCTATTATAGCATTCGACACGATATGGCCAGTTATGTGTTGACGATCCTTAAAAATCCAAACAAACAAAATTTTTCTCACATATCAAACATATGTAAAGGTTCTTAACATTTTAATTTAAGACTTATATTTGAATGCGGATGAAAAAAACATATCATATTAACTTAAACAGCGAAAGGAATAATCTCCGTAATGTGTAATTTTGCACAAGAAAACATAAATGAATATATGCATACATCATGCTGAAAATTCAACAAAATTCAAACTAGTTACAAAATTATATTTCGAAAAGTAAACTGTGACGTATTAATTACATCATGAAGAAAAGTGCATTACGTCAGCTGCAAAAATCGTCACCACAAAAAGGGATGTAATATATAGAAATGTTGTTTGTTTATCATTTTATATTAACATATATTTCACTCGCGAACACCAGTTGTTATAATTTAACTCGTTATATTTTAATTTATAATACAGCAAACATCCTTTGTTTAAAACAAAACGAAAATTTATCCATATATATTAACAGCAGCCAAGTATATATTTAGTAATACAGATTTTTGACAGGTTATATAGCCGTATATAAACGATAACCCGAGCCGCCAAGTGAGAGTTATATTGCAAACAAAATTATATCGGCCATATATCCTGTTAAAAATCTTTATAACGAATTTACAATACTGCAGAAAAAAGAGAGATTTCTTAATAAATTGACAGCAGCTATGTATATAAACTATATAAACGCCAATTAAAATTGACGTACCAAACTTGCAGTAACAAACGTGCAGTATTATAAAAGATTTTATAATACTGCACGTTTGTCACGTCACTTTTCATTGGAGAATCGTGACATTTTTATAGTTTTATATACACTGTTTCTGGCAAGTTTCTAAGAAATCTCACTTTTTTCTCAAAAAAAAAGGGAAGTTCGCGGTTTTATAAATTCGTTATAAATATTCCTGACATGTTAAATGGTTGTAGGCATTATAACCATCGCCTAGCGGCTCGGGTTATATTTCCAAACAGTCGTTTATGTAGGGCAATATTACCTGTCAAAAAATCTTTATAAACTAATAATATAAACGTCATGATTATCCAATGAAAATCGACTTTACATATTTAATATATATTTATGCTTATGAAGTAATTGTTTTGCTCATGGTTGCCATTGTTAGGCGCATGACGTCTTTGCAGCAAGTGGGATTTTTAGAAAGAATTGCTGTACATATGTTTGTCTAAAGGGGTAAAATTTCATTATGTTTTCGTGAAAATATAGTCCACATTTCACTCAAACGGAAAGCAACAATGAAAGCAACATTTTCAAATTTGAATATTGACAGTTATACTTACACCCTAAAACAAACATAGTGCTATAGCCTGAAGAATGAGGGATGGTTATCTGTTCTGATTTTTTTGACTGGTATTGAGAAGAAGCTCCGCCAGAATATTGGCTTTAACTATGTAAAGAGTTTTAAAATATCTGACTACACTGGCAGCCTCTGCTGCTAAATCTTCAGTCTCTGCGGTTCTATATACAGTCGTTTTTTTGCAGTTTCTATGTTAAGTTCCCGCCCCGCCCCTCAATTAGAAATCACGCCTGTTTCATTGGAACTTTCAACAGGGGCAGTTCCAATGACTGTTCTCTTTTTTTTAAGGAACCGTTTTCGTAGGTTTACCACTTTCACAATTGATATTATCAAGGCAATCGGGATTTTCATCGCAAAACAATTTTATATTGCTAGACGACAGACCGGCGGATCCTGCACGTGTCGTGTGATTGTGTTCCGGTTTAGCATGATCGTAACCTTATATTCACCTTCGTCTACGCAAAATACAATCGCAACTACTCGGCCCTTTCCGTCAGTCTTCGGATAAGGACCTCGAACACAATAGCATGAATACACAGAACGGATGCGGTATTCCGGTCTAACCTACGCTAAGAAACTAAACATGTAAACAAATAGTAATTTAATGCTGGGAGTTGTTGACACGTTTATTTCCAATATATGTAGTAAAAGTCCACCTGAAATAAGTGAATTCAAAGGTACAAAAGCAAACAATATATTATTTATATATTTACTAATATGTCTGTGAAACCGAAAGTACAAAAAACCAACCTGTTGACATTTGGTCGGATTTATTTAAAAATGAACATCAGAGGGCATATTTAAATAACAAATTGTTGTCGGACATATTTTCAAGCATAAGAGTACCGGAACAGACATTAGATGTCAAATATATACATTCGTTTTACATTATCTCTGTTTCTGTTTACATCAGTAAACCACGTGGTAGAACTACTTTCAATCCGTATTGTTTCCGAGGTTAATATTGTAGATAATAGCCGAGGCAGTTCCGAATGCGCAAAATAATGATTCGGTGAATATAAACAAGAGCTGTACACAATTCTCGGGTACATGTATTCAAGTGATAACACAACGCAATCGTTAATAACTAACGAGTTAGCAACGAACGATTGCTTAACTACTGCTTTCGAGATACCCGCGCTAGTCTCTCGTTAACCAACCCTCCGTCAATCGTTAGCACGTTCGTAAACGCAAATATAACGATAGCTTCGAGATACTAACCCCTGGTGTAATAAGTAATAAACCTGAGAATTGAAACTATAAGAATAAATTGTTGTTATTAGTCCCCTTCTATTTTCATTAAGAGGGGACTAAAGGCTGACCCATTTCTGTATGTCAATGAAAGCTGAATTTTGCTATAACTTAAATGGTACAAAAGTAAGGTTCATCATACTGGTATCTGATATAGAACTATACAGAGATTTAGCATGTTATTATAATTTATGCTCCTGAAAGGGAGAGAATATAGTTGCGGTCTTAACCATCTGTCGGTATGGACTCGAGTAATATTCTGGATAAATATCTGTGTTCATTCCATACAGACTTGTACTTTTGGGGAAAAAGGTTGCTCATGGGAGGAAAATATGTTTTTAATGGTGTTTTTGAGATTTTAGTTGATAAAGAAACAAAAACATAGTCTGTACTTAGGAAGACATTTGTCCTTCACACTCTTGTCCGAAATATGAATATAACTAGATATGTTTTGAAGGGATTTTATGTAAACTTCACAAAGTGATGGAGACTTTTAAGAGGAAGTGCAATGTTCAAGAAACATAACTCTACCTTGCTTCATGTTTTAATTATATTCCTTAAGTTAAAAATGCTTATTCCAAACTATCACTGAATCTACATCAACTTGAACGACTCGAATTTTCCAATGTGTCAAAGAACCATAACTCAATTCCTTAGTTTTTAGCTCACCTGTCACAAAGTGACAGGTCAAGCTTTTGTGATCCCTTTTCGTCCGGCCGTAAACTTTTTCTTTAAATGACATCTCCTCATAAACCACTACGCTAATTTCATCCAAACTTCACAAGAATGTTCCTTTGGCTGTCACCTTTAAAAATTGTGCAAAGAATTTAATTCCATGCTGAACTCTGGTTGCCATGGGAACCGAAAGAAAAAAACTTTAAATATCATCTTTAAAAAAACCTTAGAGCTAGAGCTTAGATATTTGGCTTGAAACATCCTTTAGTGAGTGTCTACCAAGTTTTTTTAAATAAAAGCCCTGGGTCAAAATTGGCCCCGCCCCAGGGGTCATTGATTTTCCCTATGTGCATATAGTAAAAACTTTATAAAATCTTCTTTTAAAGAAACCCATAGAGCTAGAGCTAAAGATATTAAGCATGAAACATCATCTAATGAGTGTTTTACCAAGTTTGGTCAAATAAAAGGCCCGGGGTCAAAATTGGTCCTGCCCCAGGGGGTCATTAATTTTCTTTAAATGCATATAGTAAAAACTAAAAAAAATCTCCTTTTTAGGAACTAAAAAGAGCTAGAGCTAAGATATTTTGCATGAAATATCTTCTAGTGAGTGTTTACAAGATTGTTAAAATAAAAGCCCTGGGGTCAAAATTGGTCCTGCCCAGGGGGTCATTAATTTTCTTTAAATGCAAATAGTAAAAACTTAAAAATCTTCTTTTAAAGAACCCAAAGAGCTAGTGCTAAGATATTTAGCATGAACATCTTCTAATGAGTGTCTACCAAGTTTGTTCAAATAAAAGCCCGGGGTCAAAATTGGCCCTGCCCCAGGGGATCATTGATTTTCCCTATATGCATATAGTAAAAAACTTCAAAAATCTTTTTTAAAGAACCCAAATAGCTAGAGTTTATATTATAAGTTGAAAAATCTTCTAGTGAGTGTCTACAAAGTTTGTTCAAATAAAAAGCCTGGGGCCAAAACTGGCCCTGCTCCAGGGTTGTCATTGTTTTTAACAGTATGTGTTAGTAAAAACTTAAAAAATCTTCTTTAAAAAAAACCAATAAACTAGAGCTTTGATGTTTAGCATGAATCATCTTCTTATGGATGTCTTCCAAGTTTGTTCAAATAAAAGCCCTTGGGTTAAAACTGGCCCTGCAGGGTGGGGGGTATATACAGGTGAGCAACCTCAGAGCCATCATGGCCCTCTTATTTAATTATCTACTTTA